TGAAGACTAGTAAAAGCAACAGAGTAAAAGCAACACCCCAAAGTAAAAGCAACTTCAATTAGTCTTTCAGCCAAAGTTCATCTGTGCTTCTATAGTTATTTTTCCATTATCCTATACTACCAACATCACAGTAGTTCGACTCTTTAAATAAGGGTCTCTTGGCCTTAACAATCCAAAATGTAATTTTGAGTTTCTCAATTTCATAAGTTTTCTCTAGAGACCTCCTCTGAGAAACTTTTGTAAAATATGTATTTCCACTGCTACTAGCTACCATCAATAAAATCTTTCAGTCAAGATTTTCTGTAAGTTTATTTCATTTAAAGTCTGAGTCTATTTAAATATTTACTCTATGCATTTATTCTATAATTATATATATATATATATATATATATATATATATATATGACCACTACCAAACTTGCACTCGGAAAACAATCCAACTGAGGTATTGTTTGACTAGTGCACATGGAAAAATCCTCAATTGACCATGATGCTAGGGAACGAGTCATCCAACCAAGGACTGGCTCACTAGCATGCACAATTCTCAATACTCGTACGCTTGTAACAAGTCCTACGCGCGCAAACTAATCTCGCTAAGGGTCTATGAAACACCTCACCAAGGGTGCCCGGGTTCCAACATTTCCAAATATCCATAGTTCCCAATTTCCAAGTCCAGTGAGGTATAGGATAGTGTTTATAGCACTTCAAATTAACATAAACTATAATCCACTCTCTTTCCACAATCTCATTACATCCACTCCCTTTCCATAATTTCATTACCAACACCCAACGTACCCCACACATAACCAAGTATAGATAGAAATTCTCAAAAATAATATATATCAAGTCAATATACTCGCAATATGCCAAAACCCGAATATATTGCAATTAATTTATAAAAATATCAAGTTGCAACTATTAATTATATAAGAAATTCAATAAACCAATAAATCATTATACATTATTTTTCCATTTTTAAAATAATGCTTATCATTTGAAATCAAAGTCCACTCACAAATAGTCTTACGATGCTTAACCCTGAGAGGGTCCCGCCTACTAAGTACGAGTAGCCGAAGTACCTATTAAACAATATGAGGGTGAGATTAATAAAAACCGCTTCAAACGAGAACTTTAAAATAATCTCCAAATTCCCGAGGTTCAAGTGTGTACAACGAACGAAAAGTTCCTAAGGTCCAACTATGCGTTTTGAATGGTGGAATAGCCTCGGAAAACACTCAGTTAACTGAGTGGTCAAACTTTCCAAGTTTGGTCAACCGGGCCTGCTGGGCCCATCACCCCTGTTCCCGATCAGAAAGTTTCTATGTGTTCAACAAGGTTTATTATACATATCCTGCAAGTTTAGTCATAATCGAACGGTCGGATTGCTCGCGATCGCATGATCAGACTGCTCGGGATTGCACGATCAAACGATTATCGTTTAACATAATCTTTGAAACATTGAATCGAAGCATATGGGGCTTCGATTCACGACCCGCGAATTTGTACACGATCCTACAGGTGCCTAGATTTAATATTCTAAATTAGAGATAATCCAACGGTCCAAACATTTCGAACCCGAATAACGCCTAATATGCGTAATCCGATCGACGGTGAAACGATAACCAAATTCAAATCCGAGCATATCGTGGTACTTGGGATGACATGGGGATCATTTTAGAACCCAATGGCCCACCACAAAGTGGCCCAGGCACCAGCAGCGCGTGGGTGCCCAGAGTAATTTCAGCGCTTGTCAAGACCCATACCTACATGATCAAGACAATGAGTGGAGCAACTTTTGTTCTTGGACCATGGCCAAAAAGCGATCAAAACTTGCTAGAAACACAAGCCAAAAACCGGCCAAACTTTAAGCGATAAATCAAGTTCCAAAACACAGAAATTATTCCTAATCAACCCAACCATCAACTAGAACACACTGAGAGGATGACAAAGCATACCTAGATCAAAGAAATTGGTGGCCGGAATCGCCAGAACAAGCTCCGGTAAGTTGAGAAAAACCGGCCAAACCTTCGTGTTTCCGCGCCACGGGTGTGGCGATTGACGGTGGCTGAGGGGTGGGATGGAGAAAGGAGGTGGAGGCAGTTCTTTTGGTATCAGCTTTGTTGCCGAAGGTGGGCTATGGCGGCAGCAGTGGTCCAAAAACCGCCAGGTGCAAAAACTAGGAGGGGGTCTGTTGCGCATCAAGGGGGGGGGGAGGGGGGGGAGAGAGAGAGAAGAAAGAAAATCTATTTTTTCAAAACCCATTTCGAAATATTTACGAATATGCCACTAAACTTCAATAGCTCGTAACTTCTTCATTTCAACTCCAATTTGAGTCCACTACAAACTCATATTAACGCGATCTACGCAATAGTACCATTCATTTCCCCAAAATCCTTCTGGATTAAAAAATGACCAAAATAACCCTATTCCCGAGAGTAAAATTATAAATCTCAAATTCATTAAATTAATCAAATTAAACGAATAATTAAAATTTGGGTCAGGATGTACAAAAAATTTTGCTCTTAAGAGGCTGGGCCAGTATCTAATATCATAGCCAAAATTCCTAAAGTTACAATAGTACAAGGATCATTCTCATCTTCATGCTATCTTCGTTTGCAAAAGGATCATTCTTAAGGTCTAAGTGATAGCTAGTTAGCATATCTTCATTTGCAAAAGGATCATTCTCATTTTTATGTTGAGTAGCATCAATGTCTAGAATTTCTAAGACCTTTTTCAAGTCCTTTTTAGATGAGGATGAACTTGACTGATCAATAATTGCTTGAAGCCTTTTGAGAGGCTCAGCTGGAGTTATTGCAATAGGTTGAAGAAGAATAAAGGAAACAAATATAATGAAACTACGAAGGATATCATACAAAATTCTGAGATCCTGGGTGCCAATTACATAAAGGATTTTTATAAAGATTAAGTCAAAGATTCCAAACTATTATACCAAAGGTTGAAGAAGAGCCCAATTCCCGGTCTGATGAACATACTAAGGCTGTTAGGAAACTAAAAGTTAAAGTTAAAGAACTTCCTTGTCTAGCCTTAGCCAACCCAGAAGCCTGCAAAATTGTAGAAACCGATGCTTCAGATATAGGGTTTAGGGGAATCCTAAAACAGAAAGTTAATAACTCAGGGCAATTGGTTAGGTTTACCTCTAGAGTTCGGAAGCCAGCTTAGAAAAACTATTCTACTGTTAAAAAAGAAATGTTAGCCATTGTCCATGCTGTTTCCAAATTTGGCAGGGATCTTTTAAACAAAAGGTATTTAATAAGAGTCAATTGCAAGGCTACAAAAGATATTTTGTTTAAAGATGTAAAAAATTTGGCCTCAAAACAGATTTTTACAAGGTGTCAAGGAATTCTTTCTACTTTTGATTTTGATATTGAATTTATTAAAGGTGAAACTAAAACACTCCCTGATTTTTTTAACCCATGAATTCTTATAGGGTGTGAACAAGGAGTTCCGAGCAACTGACCCCACAAAAGAGGACCAGCGCTCTTGATATAAAGCATCACCATCGAAACCACAAGGAAAGAGAGAGGATGATTGCTGAAAATCCTTTCAAAGAATACATGAGAATTCCGCTAGCTATCATTGAAAATAATGATCTAGAAAAGCATCCTAGAGTTTTGGCTGAAAACTATTTAAGAGATGATATTCCACCACTTAATAAGCCTCGGATATTTTACGAACAGTTGCTGATTGAAACAGAGTCGGTTCGCATTGTTCATAGGCATAAAAATGATAATAAAAATATGATTGCTTTCTCCAAACTTCAGATATTAGAAGTGATACCGCTGGAGAGATGGGGTCCAAGCCCTGAAAGGGCCAGAAGGTTCCACCAGCCTGATATTAGGCCTTATTACTATAGTTATTTTGATTATAAAAAGGCTTGGGATTATGTGTCATGTTTTCAAAATCAAAATTTTTCCCACTCATGGTTTATCCAATTTAAGAAATGGAAGATATAGAAAGTTCACAGATTCTTTGTTAGGAATAGTCGAGTCGACCTTAGGGGAAGGCCCGATATATTTTAACTGCTTTCCAAACTTTTCTGTTGCATTTTCTGATATAAATGTCTTAAAAGCTTTAACGTTGAATATTCAAACTCAAGGTCATGATATGGACCCAGGATCTCGAAATCTAGCAATCATTTATAAGGTTTCATATAAGGTTATGAACACTGTCTCCTATAGGGTGCTATAAAAAAGATGCTACCATATCAAATAAATCAAGAGCAAAACAGAGCTTAGTTGTGAAAGTGAAATTGAATGAAAAGAACATAGCCCTTACAGCGGTTCACATCTATTATTCCACCCACATCTCCCCTTGGATCATTAAGTTCAGCCAGAATGGACGCAATCCTTTGTTTTGCCTCTTGCAGGAGGTGCTTCAAATCAAGAAGTGTTGTCTCACTTTGATTCTTGTTTATAAATGTGGTTATTTTATTAATAATCTTAAGGATGTAAGAAAGACAAATGAATCATTTAAGGCGAAAAGTAGAACCAAATTTCAATTTCACCAATCATACTGTATAGAGAAAAGGTACACTTAAAGCTAAGCTTGTTTCAAAACCTTTCATCAATTAACATTTTTACTTCCGAAAGCATTGCAGCCCTGGTGGACCTAGCATCAGCAGACTTTCTGTTTTTCTATTTATTTAAAATAATAAATAAATAAAAGAGGTTATTGTGAAACTTAAAAAATAGATAAAATAAAGATATTAGCCAAACAACTAGGCTAACTTGCACAAAATATAATATTCAGAGTAAGCATACTTCAATTCAAAGTAGGCACAAAATCCACGGCACTAGTTGCCTTCGACATGCCAAGCAAGAAAAGGCAGCGTTACATAACAATGCAAGAAGAAACAAGGGGAGTTTCACAATTATTATAACTTGTATATGACTACCAATTTTAACTTGGTCATAGGTACTTGGTGAAAGAAACCTGGGGAGTTCACAATTACGGGTTATGAACGACAAAATCAAGACACGAACAGGACGCACACACTCAGAGCTCAATCTGAAACTATTTTATGCCTCCTAACTAATTACATGTCATAATATTACAGGAATTGATCTCGAGTTTGTGTTAATACTAAAAAAGACATTTTTCCCTCCTAGGACCTCATTTTGAAAGCAGCAAGGGTAAACAGTGCAGAATGGCCCTCATTTTTATACAAATTAAGAAGAAACTGGTTCCAAGAGTCATTGTTATAAGTCCAAAGAAACAATTAATGATATACATGTGCAAATCCTGTCAAAGTAAGAAATATATGGTCCCTGCATTCCTTGCCTGCCCATGTCTTCATGTTCAGGAAAAAAAAAAACTTACCACTTGGATGCCACAATACAAAGCAAATCAAGGATGACTAATTGTACAGTAGCAACAATTAAGACACCACAACCGAATTAACCCGAACACTTGCATGATCATGGCTTGCTTTACAATAGCATGTGTGATGCAGGGTCATGAAAAGACAAACTAATCAGAAAATAAATAAGCTCAACACACCTGCAAATGACCATCGGCAGAAACAGTGATGATACTTCATCAAAAAACTCGTCACCGAATGTCAAGAGCGTTTTCAAATCCCTTTGAAGAATCTGGACAGGTTTAGCGTGGTTATGTCTGCATTACAGAAAAAGCTATTACTACTACCAAAGATACTTGAGTTTCCAGTGAGTGTATAATACAAGCAGGCCGGCATCCAAATCAAAACAAAGATCGAGATTCGGGCTCACCTGTCGAGGGCCTCGAGGCTAATCGCAGGTGAGCACTACCTGGCTGGATTTACTAAGGTTGATGAAAACAGCGACTCTACGAAGACGAGCCAGGTCATAGGTACTTCGTAGAGTCGCTGTTTTCATCAACCTTAGTAAATCCAGCCAGGTAGTGCTCCCACATCATTCACCATTCATCATGCAATCCTCAAAATACCTCTTATTGAAGAAATACCCTGAATCTTTCTCCAACCTTGATTCACACGCATAGACACAACAACCAAAATGAATCACTCATTATATAAACCAAACAAAACAACATAAGTTCCATTAATTTGCTCTGTTTTTTTTTTTCCAAAAAAAATAACGAAAAAAAAAGTGCCAAAACATCTTCCTTTCAATTTTCTCAATTTTCTTGGCAACCAAGTGAACCCCAAACAACCGCCAAATGAACAAATAAACAAGAAATACGAGCTCTCTGCTACGCTGCTACGCCATGGTTTGCGTAGCTGTGGCGGTTTGTTTCTGTTTTGTGGCGTGTGGAGTACGGAACTGAGAAATCAAGGAATTGGAATGGGGCGAGTGAAATTTGGGGGAGAACTGGAACTTGGAACCCTAATTTGGCTTGTTTTGGTGGTTAATTAGGTGACGGGAGCAGGAACGCAAAATTTTGGGTTTGTTTCTGAGTTCCAATTTTCCCCCCAAATTTCACTCGCACCATTCCAATTCCTTGATTTCTCAATTCCATACTCCACATGCCACAAAACATAAACCGCCACAGCTATATATATATATATATATATTAAGAGGTTACATATAACCCAAATAGTGCAACAAAGATACAATCCAAACAAGTTATTGAAATACAAAACAGTACAAAATAAACACATTACCTATACTTTTCTAGTAAACCATTTGAAGATTTGATATTGTTCCTTAGTGACACATCAGATGGAGATTATTAACAGATGCCTAGTTACAGGCTTAGCAGGCGCAGTAATAATGGCAAAAATTGAAAACCAAGATTCTTGGTTACCAAATTTTCATTTCGCCTAACACCATATTGTGAAGTATTATATAATGCCCATTGACCTCAATTGAGGATAAACAAAAATAATAGATAAAACATGATGCAGTATGCAATTTAAATGCACCCTCAACAAAATTTAGCAATGATGAAGAAACTGTAAGTTTATATACTCTATGGTAAAAGGAAGCCGACAAGAATTAAAACCACATTTAAAACTAACATTGTCCAATAATCTATAAGATCTGTAATAAGTCGTCTTAAACTAACATTGTCCAATAATATACCTACAATAAAGTCCAAGATTCATCTGCCAAGATAGATGACAGCGTTCACAAGCTTTTTAGCAGGAGTAGCAAGGTCTTTCAGATCAAAGCTTATCAATTCACTCGCATCTCAATCAGCCATTCATTTTCAAGGAGCTTTGTTTTCCAATCTTTAATTAGTCTCATCTTGAGCTGCGAAAAAAAAAAAAAAAGAAGCAAGGTAACGCAACAAAAAATAAACCCAAAATATTATCCTAACTTGTCCATATATATAACTAAAAATACTACCTCAAAAGACATGTGAAACAAAGGTAAAATGATAGTAGTTGAAACTCAAATCAATTCCAGAACGTGACGCAATTCAGTCCTGCCACATGTTTAATGGGTTCCCTTCTGAATCCAGTATGTCCTCCAAGCTCTGTCTGTACACCCATTCTGCCACAAATAGAAGAAAAGTTAAAACCATGAACCAAGAAGACCCAATAACTAAGTATATCAAGCATTCAAGAAGTTCAAGAACCCTTCACAAGAAAAAAGATAGTCCTTTTATACAGTCCAAATAGAAGTAAAAATTGAAACCAAATTACGCAAAGCCCCTAACAATTTACCAGAAAAAATAAAATTGATTAAAGCAATGAATTAATACATAGAAATCGAGTTTCGGTTTGGTGTTGTCCTGTTTGTCAATAAACTGCGGGCTTAATCAAGATCCATCAAACTCCTCAATCTTCCTAAATTTGCAGAAACACAAAACTGAAAATTAAAAGAACAAATCAGTAACCAAACGTGAAAGAAACAATTAAGGCATAAAAGAATGACATAAAGGGTTAAATAGAAGTGAGATATTGCTGCAAATACAGGGTAATGTATCATAAGGATCAACCATCTTATTCCGACCTAAGTAGATTAAACATGCAGGAAAATATATGGAAAATAACAGACTTTGTTAGCAGGCTTGGTCCAAATTGGACATAAGCTATGCCCGAACTTTCTGCGCTTAATCCAGACTTCCATTCATCTGAAGTTTTACAAAACAGAAAATATGTTTAACAAAAAAGAGAAATGAAAAAAAAAAAATCAGATCCAAACTCTGGATAATGCAGGAGATCGTAGATTAACGTCCTTTACGATTGTGTAATTCTAATATAGGTTAAATCTAATAATAATTGAATTATTTGAGCTCAAATCTAAAAGCCCCAATTTAATAATAGCCCATGAAAGCATGAAAACGGCAATAATGCAAACTAACACTCAAATAGAATTCTGTAAACAACATCGGCAACAGATTGTTGTAGAAAAAAAAAATCATTTAAAACTGTATTGTAATGATATAGAGGATTAAGAAAAAGGACCTTTCTATTGCTGAGACAAAGACAGATCTTTTTACAAAGAAAACAAATAACAGAAAACCTAGCAGGATATGTGTGAGACCTGAGAATCGTCAACATCAGTCTGAGCGTGAGGCCTGAGAATCGTCGACATCAGTGTGGGTTACAGGGAATCGATCGATTCTCACTGTGGGCTGTACCAAGAGAGAATAAAAAGATAACAGATAGAAGAAAGAGGAGAGGGGAGAAAGAAAGAGAGAAGAGACAGTACAGAGGAGTAGGCCTCGTTAATGGGCCAGGCCAGGCTAGCCCGGCCCAAATTTAATGGGCTTGAGTCGGGTCAGGCCGGGCTTCAAAGAGAAGAGAGAAAATAATGAGCCGGGCTATGTTGGGTTTTTCAGAAAATTCGAAGCCCAAGCTCATCCCATGAGACAGGCTTGAAAAAGCCCATTAGGTTGGGCCGGATTAAGCCCAACGGGCCAAGCCTAAATAGGCCTACTTTATTTTGTCTTTTTGTTTATATGGATTTTTTTGACAATATTTTTTTCCTATGTTTTGGTGTGTTTCTATGTTTCCATTTTTTTTATAGTTCTCTATTTACATTTGTCTATATGTTTATGTCTCCATTTTTTTTCTTTGTTCATAACTTCATAGTTTTTTTCCCCCATAAATATAAAGATATAGTTATACAACCGTCATATTAATAAACTCATGTTTTATCCCATAATTCTTTTTTTTTTTTTTTTTAAGTTCTTACAATGATAATAGATAATGATTTTCTCCATCTTTCATTTAACTTGAGTTTTTATATATATTTATTTATATGTATGTGAGCCCATGGGCAGGGCTTTTTTATGGGAGGGCCGGGTTGGGCTTTCTTAGGCTCAAACGGGTCAGGATTATGGGCCGGGTCTATGGGCCGGGTTTATGGGACGAGCCTATGGGCCGAGCTTTAGACACCTAAGCCCAAGCCCAACCCACTCAACAACGAGCCAAGTCGGGCTTTTGCTCGATGGACTGGCCCATGGGCTCGCGGACCTAATGATGACCCCTAGAGGAAAGGGTTGAGAGATATGGCTAAAGCGAAGAAGAGGGGTAGGTTTGAGAGGGGAATCTGAAATGTCTAGCGGGAGAGCTAGCGTGAAAAGTTTTCTGGAGTGCTGATCAGGATGATAGCATTTTTGCTCACCACTTTAGATGCATTTAGATGGATGGTTAGGATATACACCTTGACTTAAGTGGTGAGCAAAATTACTTCACCAAGTAGGCATCACTCCCTAATATTACAGAAAATTATAATAGATTTTGAAACGCTATTATAGTCATAATAAATAGAACTTATTGTTAGTGGAACAATGAATAATTATGAATTTTAATAATAATAATTCTCACAAAAATTATAACACTCGAATACAATAATAAACTTATATACAATTAATGTAAATCAACAAACACAGATAGAAATATTGACGATTTTAGTGATTGAAGTTTCAAGAATTGCAATGTTCTGAAGATAGATTTCGCCTATATGCTTGTGCTCGCAATTTTGTAAGTGTCTATTTCCCATAACACAACAATTAATAATTGTGACTGCTCAAATATCTCATCTTTCATAAAACATGAGTACTCAATATTCATTACAATACAAATCTTGATTCCTACCACATGCACAGCCTACTTACCACATCCATACAAAATACCAAATCGAAACAAAGAACTATTATACATATTATATGGGTTATTTACTCAAATGATTCTCAAATTTATACCCGAGTTGCATTTTGGTCCTTTAACTAAATTATTCTCTCACAATGGTCCATCAACTCTCTATTATTTGGCAAATTGGTCCACCGTTACATTCTATCAAAAATTTCGTTAAATATGAGGGCAAATTGGTCATTTTGTACTCTCTCTCTCTCTCTCTCTCTCTCTCTCTCTCTCTCTCTCTCTCTCTCATCATAGGTTGCTGAAGTTGGGAAGGCCAAAGGTCTTTGGGCCTACTGACATCCCTTTCCCCAAAAGTATAGGTTGGGGTGAGATCTTGCTTGGGTGTTTTTGTAGCTTACAAATAAGGAAAATAAAATTAAAAAATAATTAGATGTTCGGGTTAAGCCATAAGTGGTGGGAGGAGGAGGAAGGGTATGCTGTTGAGAGGGGGGAGGTGGCGAATGGGAGAGAGAAAGATAACAGAACATGGAGAGGGGTCTGTGGGGTAATGGGGGAGAAGAAATCGGGGGGAGGGGGCGCTGGGTTTGGGTTTGAGGATTTTTTCTCTTTTCTCAAATTTTTTAAATTTTGTATTAACTTTTGTTGAGGCCCAAAATGTCACGAGAAGCCCAAGCATTAAAGCCCAATATAACATATAATGTTGGTCATGCGTTAATCCAAGCTATATAAATAATATACATGTCATGCCAAACAAATAATACATTATCCTTGACCAAAAAAAAAAAAAATACATTATCCTATGCTAAACAACATAACAAGCTTAAGTGGGCCCAAGCCACATACATACATGGGGCTTGCTGAGCTGGTTATGGTGTGCATGGATACAAGGATCCATGAGGCCCATCAAAGGTTTAAAAGAATGGAGGTTTTGGGTTGCTTGGGAGCCCCAAAACCCAAGCCCATTTTCTTGAGCCAGTTGAATGGGTAAGCAGAGAAAACGTACCTTCTTCTAGAATTTATTACCCGACTCCCAATTTCTTCAAGCATTAAACCCTTCTAGCAGCTCTAGAACTAGGTTGCGATGCCTACTACCCAACCCCAACTTCCCAGCAACAAAACCTGAGTCAAACGCCATAAATCAGTGTTACCAACTTCTGCGCCGCTCATTCATTGCATGCTTCAGAAATGTTGGAGCTCCAGCGGCTATAAAAGAAAGCAATGACTAATCCAACAAAAAAAAAGGGAACAACAACAAAAGCAAGTCATACTCTCTAGCTGCTAGAAACCTCATATTCAAGCATGATTTCTTTCATATTTTTCACCTCTATCCTAATACACCTATTGCTGGAAACACCCAAGCTTAACCCATTCATTCCTCTTATTTCCTCCGAGGAAGGCAGATGCAAGCTCACCCTCTGTTGGAAATCACCCAGCTTCAGCCATTCCAAACCCAGAAACAAGCCCTAGCTATCCCAAGCTCACCCTCTGCTGGAAATCACCCAGCTTCAGCCATTCCAAACCCATATACAAGCCCTAGCTATCCCAAGCTCGCCCTCTATTGTAAATCACCCAGAGACAAGCTTTCGCCTTCTCAACCCAAACATATCCTCTGCTTCCTAGAAAACCCACTGCCATGAATATACAAAGCCCAAGCCTTCCTCTATCATGCTTCTCTTCTTCTGTAAACCACTCCAAGCCATGAACATCATCCAGAAAACCATCTCAAGCTATCCCAAAACCAACCAACACAGCAATACGAGCAAACCATAGTCTTACTGCTGGAAAACACTCAAGCTTAACCCTCCTAGCAACCAAATCCATTCGAAGCCATAAAATACCCTTTATCAAACAGTCTATTCCAATCTAAGCCTCTCTCTTGCTAAACTCATGGAGACTTAGCTCCTACACCACAAGCCTCTCATGCCAAGCCTATATGATTTGCGTACAATATCAAAGTATCAACCTCAATATCATCTGCCATATGCCATCACAGCTGCTAAGAACTCCATCTTCTTCAACATCTTTTCCAACATTACTTCACTACCTGCAACACATACTCTGACAGGACCCAACCCAAATTCCACTTTGAAATCCGAGCCGAACCCTGTGCGTGTCCGACACCTGGCAGGTGCCAGACACAATTGACCTTATTGCCCTTCTAGTCAAAAGTTCTAATAAAACTGGAGTTTGACTTCTGCCGAAATTTCAGCAGAGTCTCCCTTGTAATTAGACCAAACGCAAAGTTACACCTGTCAGATAAGCATAGAAATATGTACACCAACTGCCAGCATACAAAAATTTTCATACTAACAGTTAGACAAGTGTTCTAGGGCAATATCAGAGCTCTACACAGATTAGATTACAAGTATAAAATAATTAAACAAGACCCTACTTTGTCAAGGAAGGTGGCGGAAGATGGACTCAGCCTGGTGGTGGCTCACTGTGCACGCTTACTGCCTGGGAGCGCAAAACATTAAAAGAGTGAGAGGACCAAAAACAAAGTTTTAGAAAATAGTATAAGAACATACTAACCCCACTGTAAAACAATTATAAAACTAAATCATTTCTTATATAAATACTCGTACTGGAATCACTGCATTCATATCTTTATATATATATATAGTCAATCACACACTTGATTAAAACATTAAGTCCTCGAAAGCATTGAAATCAACTTTAAATCTACCACCTAGGTGTACCCATTTAGCAATCCGTCAATTCCTTATAATCCGTCAATTCCTTTAATTTCCGTCAATTCCTTTAGTTTCCATCAATTCCATCATCGTGCCACCGGAGTGACACGTCCTAGTAGACCTCGGGAATGACAAGGTCACCCGAGCCGCAATCTCGCGGGATTCAAGGGACACTTGGTCCATCTGAGCCGCGTTCCTCACACCCACGGTTTGGGCGTCCCCGAAACTCGTGGGGCGGTGTCTAGCATGCTGACCTACCCGAAGGCAACTAGATGTCCGTCGACATCAATATAACCGAAGGCAACATAATTTTATTCCGAAGGCAACTTTATTTCCGAGGCAACATTTATTATACTGAAGGCAACCTTGGGTACCTATGGTGGTTTAAAATAAATGTATATATATATATAATTCTGAAAATGATTAAAGTTTATAAAACTACTTATAAAACTATTCCTTAAATCCTGCTGCCCTTTAATCTGGTAATACCCTAGTTCTGACTTCCCAAATCCTTTTTAAAGTTCAACTAGGCAGCCTATAAGTAAACAGAAATGTTTAAATCTATCAAGTCATGCTAGGAAAGCCGTATTCAGAAAAACTTATTCAAGATCAAATAATGAAATTAAATTGCATAAAATCGTTTATAAAACAAACAGTCCACTCACAGATACTCTGTGCTAGCTGGACCCTTTGAAGGTCCCTCCTGCGGGTTACCTGTATAACCATCATAGTATTTTTATTAAAAACTCTGCTCAGTAATATAGTATTAAATTAAAAAACCCTGACCCCCGGCTCCTAAAAGTGCGTGCATCACTTTAAAGGTCATTCCTATGCCCACATTGGCTTTTCTCTCAATGGGCACGATTTAAAAATACCTAGGGACTCAAAAGCGATAAAGTCCCAAAAAGTCAACTCGGGACCCCATCGGGTCCACGACCTCATA